AAAAACAGGGGTGTGAGGGAGAGTGAGGAGCTCGAGTCACGTGTGAGTGAGCTGGAATCAGGATTCAGGACGTTTTTTGAGAGGAAAGGTATGCAATGGATATTGCAGCGGGTCGTCTTGGAGTCAATGGTGGGTGAGGTGGTTAGAAGGCAGTGGTAGCACGGGCTGAGACAGAAGCGGAAGTGTCTGAGAGGGAAAGGTATGCGATGGAGATTGCAGCGGTTGCCTTGGAGTCAGTGGTGGGTGAGGCGGTTGCAAAGTCGGAGGCGGAAGCTTCAGCGAAAGAGAGGTATACGATGGAAATCGCAGCAGTTGCTTTCAAGTCAGGTGGGTGAGGTGGTTAGGAAGGCGGTTGCACGGGCTGAGAAGAAGGAACAAGAAACTTCTGAGAAAGAGAGGTGTACGATGGAAATTGCAGAGGTTGTCTTGCAGGCAGCTGTGATGAGGCAATTACGAAGGGGATGGTAGCACGGACTGAGACAGAAGCGGAAGCTTTTGAGAAAGAGAGGTATACAATGGAGATTGCAGCAGTTGCCTTGGAGTCAGCTATGGGTGAAGCGGTTAGGAAGATGGTGGCACAGGCTGAGAAAAAGGAAGCGGAAGCTTCTCGGAAAGAGAGGTTTACGATGGAAAATGCAGCGGTTGCATTAGATTCGGCGGTGGGTGAGGTGGTAACACTAGCACAGGCTGATAAGGCTGTAGAAACTTCTGAGAAAGAGAGGTTAACTATGGAAATCGTGGGGATTGCGCTTGAAGGGGTAGCAGAGGTGGCAGTTAGCCAGGCTGTGGCCAAGGCAGAGGCTCGGATGCACGAGGCTGAGAAACAGGTTCGGGAGAAGGTACGGGAGGAGCTCTGGGAGCAGGTTCGGGAGAAGTTCGGGAAAAGGTTTGGGAGGAGGTATGGCCCGAAGCTGAGCAGAAGGCTCGGGAGAAGCTGAATGCTGCATGGCAGCTGTTGCCAAAGCCGAAGCTGCTGTAGAGGCTCGAGAGTGCTGCTGTGGTGGAGGAGGGGCGAGTGAGGATGGAAGAGAGGGTAAGACGGGAGGAGGGCTGAGGGAAAGGGAGGAGAGAGTGAGGGAGGGAGAGGAGAAGTTGGACGAAGATGTGTGGCTCTTAGAGGAGACACTTAGGCGGCGGGACGAGCAACTGCTGCTGTTAGCTAAGAGGGAGGAGGAGTGAGTGGAAGGGAGGTAGTGGTAGGGAAAAAGGAGGAGGAGATAGCACGGAGAGAGGAGGAGGTGAGGAGGGGAGCAGAGGAGGCGAGGAAGGGAGGGGAGGTGGAGAGGAAGGAGATATGGGGGATGGGGGAGTTGAGGTGGGGAGGGGCGAGGAGGTAGCAGCAGCAAGGGAGGCTGCTCGTGCTGCTCATGCTGCTGCTGCTGCGGCCCGGAGGAGAGTGGTGGGAGGAGAGAGAGCGGTGCAGAGAGCTTGGGGAGGAGTTGAAGAGGAGGGAGAGAGGGAGGAGGAGAGAGCAAGAGGATGGTGCACGTGGGGGCGGTTGTTCTTGAAGCTGCTGTGGAGGAGGGTGTGAGGAAAGCGGTTGAGAGGGATAGGGGGCGAGAGAAGGAGAGGGAGAGGGAGAGGGAGAGAGTGAGGGAGAGGGTGAGGGTGAGGCAGAAGGAGAGGGAGAGGGAGCGGGAAAGAGAGAGGGAGAGGAAGGGGGGAGAGGGTAAGAGAAAGGCTGCGTGTAAGGGAACGGGTGAGGATGAGAATGCGGGAGAGGGAGAGGGAGAGGAGGAGGGAGAAGGAGAGGGAGGAGGGTGGAGGGGAGGTTGAGGAAGCATGTTTGCATGTCATGATGGCTGCAGCTATCGAGGCAGCTGCAGAGCAGGCTGCTGCCTCGGCTGTAGCGGCATCTGTAGCAGCACAGGGATTTGCAGCTGCAGCTGTAGGAGCGAAAGGATCTGTATCAGGCTGTGCAAAGGATGAAGGGGGGAGTGGGGCTGGAGGAAAGGAAATGGATGGAGGAAGGGGAAGGACTGAGGATGGAGAGGGAGAGATGGAGGAGGCAGAGGGAGTTGAGGGAGGGGAGGAGGAGGCGGAGGGGGAGAGGGAGGGGGATGACGTGGAAGGGGTGGGGTATGACGTCTGTGGGGGAGAGGGGGATGACGTGGACAGCATGTTGGAGGAGCTGTTGGGATTGGCTGAGAATGGAGGGGCAGATGGGGAGAGCGATGGTGGGGATGAGGCGGATAGCAGGCAGAGCAGGTATGTGGCATGCAACGGTGGTGGCAAGGCTGCTGGCTGCTGGAATTTCCGACATGGTGAATGGTGCTGTCTGTGATGATAAAGGTAGCGAGGATGTTTATGGTGGTGATGATGGTGCCGATGTGAGTCGTGATCATAATGGTGATGACAATAATGCAGATGGCGATGATGGCAGTGCTAGTAACGATGGCAGTGGTAGTGATGATGATGTGAGTCATGAGGACGAGGATGAGGAGGATGAGGAGGAAGAGGAGGAGGAAGGTGCGAGGAAGCAGGTGGAGAGGAGCATTTTCGCAGCCTTAGAGGAGATGAAGCAGTGGAGTGCTGGCCTTTCTTGCCTCGCCTTCACCATCAGCCTCAGCTTCAGCTACTTCACACAAAAGCTGACAGCACCAGCGGCAATGCAGAGCGCAGTCTGCCGTGCAATACGAGAGATGATGCTGCACAGTGCGCTTATCAGACTAGCGCTGCTGGCGCCCTGTCACCACAGTGTGGGGGGAAACCGTCACTGTCACTGAGAGTGATGGCAGCACTCCCTTCAACCCATCACCACCGAATTCACAACACATGTCACCAATACAGCAACACGTGCAACTCGTACAGCAACACGCATCGCCACTGCAGCATCCCACCAGCAGCAGCAGCGGCACCCTCTGTCGAAGCCAGTCGGGGGTTCCTGCCACATCCGCCCCTCTCCCTGCTACCCTGTCGACCCCACAAGCCAAGCACTCTGCATCGGCGTCTTCCTCTCCCATCCTCCGATCCTCCTCTTCTCCTCTCTCCCGAATCGGTGCGTCGGCGTTGGGCTCGCGGAGGCGGCAGGTGCGGCCTGTCCGCCTGTTTGGTTCGGGCGAGGAACGGAGAGCAACAGCAACTGAATCTGTCAGTGGCTTTCCCTGGTCTCATTCGTAGTTTCCCATTCTGGTTCTTCTTTTCTTTTACAGATGCCTAGAAATACCTTACCTTCTTCAACAATGTCTCTTCCTCAACCGCCCCGTTCCCCAAACATTTGTTTCCATGTTTCCATATGCAGGCCTCCTTGGAAGAACCACATTTGGACGAGATATCACAGCTTCTGCAGAAGTTCAGTATAGGAGCCTCCAAGGACGAAGGCCATACAAACTGACATGAGCTGAATGCTAAGCTAACGTGGTGAATATGCTGTTCCACACCAATCGAACGTAGCTTCCCGCTTACTCCTAATTTATGTATTTAATGTTGGAAATCCGAATACAGTATAACGAATACTGTATACCAGTGTGCTGTTTGGTTTTAGTGTAGCCCTCTTTATAAGCTTCTAGGTCCTACAATAATTGTGACAATTATTGTAGGGGCCACAATTATTGGAGTCTAGCATTATTGGAGGGTAGAGAGCACAATTATTGGTACACCACAGGGCCTCAGAAGTCAGCGAGAAAAGGCTGATGTAGGTAAAAAAGGCTGAGATTTCAGACCTTTCTTAGAGCTGAGGCTGATTTTTCAGCGATTTGTTGAAATGAAACAGGAAATGTTAATAGATTTTTAGTGAAAAATGGCATAAAATGGCTGATTTCTCTTATTTTCAGCAAAACGTTTGTACCAACTCTGATTTTTCAGTCTAGGCCAAAACGAATCTGAGGCCCTGGTACACCATTATTGGTGTGAATGAGCCATTTTGGGAGGGGTAGCTGGATGCATATATACTCTGCTGTATCACTTCTTCAACATCATTGAGTAATCATTGAGTTATCATTGTGTTATCGTTCTATTTTTTCAATCAGGGCCCTAGATCAGGGCCTACGATATCAGGAATTTTCCCCTGAAATTCCTGATTTCCAGGGTTTTTTTTTTTTTAGCTAACCTGATTTTCCAGTGTTCAGCTTTAGTGGGGGCTGATTTTTCAGCCTTTACCTAGCACATGACTCTGAAATTTCAGCAATTTTTTCCAAGTGACACTGATGCCACTACGTTGTAACGAATCCGACCCTGAAAGCGATTCCTACACGGGCCGAGTGTAGTTGCCCGGCTGTACTAGGAATATCAGATTCCCGCGGGTGTCAGCAGGGCGTGGCGGTGAATAGAAGACAAATTTGCCCTCAACCAGGGATGCATTGTTGGCGCGCGTGCTGCGATGATTGGCCACTTTGACAGCATTTCCTGATTTGGCCAATTACGGGTTGCAGAGCAACGAGAGATTCAGGCCCATGTGATGCACATGTGGACCTGTGGCCCTGTGGCCCGGATTGTCGAAGACGTACTGGCAAGAACGGATGCATCCACGCCGCCCCTGCTGTGCTACCAGCCATCCAATCTCCCACCCCAGCCTGCTCCTGGCTTTCCTTCCATCTAGCAAGGGTACGGTTTCAACGTGTTGCTGCCTGGTGGTGTACCAAGAGGCAGTCAGCCGTGTTTTCTCTCTTCCTGGCAAACCTCCGTTAGGCTAGCTTGGTAGTGCCGTTAGATGCTGCTCGTTTGCGCTGCAGCCAATGGCGGACCACCCGGACGCCATTGAACGACCTGATGACGACGACGATGAACCCGCTCGTCGTTCGCTCATCGATCTGTCCGCGGCAGTTACTGGACTCGATCTGCTATTCTCCAGCTTAGCGGCAGTAGATAACCATGGAAAGGATCCTGCAATCGCACCGACCGTCTACATCCCGTTTGAACCAATCGACGAGCCGCTGTGTCCCTCCCAACTGCGCCCGTGTTGGAGCAAGACAGCTGCAACCCTGCAGGTGAAGAATCTGCGGCGGTACCTGTGGCTAAGAAGTCCGCCAAGTACATGCAGTCAACGATTCCGTGGGGCAAGAAGGGAGGCACCGTTGGAGCAGCACCGGCTTCGCCAGCCGACCAACGGTCGACGCCCGCGACCGCAGGCACGCAGGCGTCGCCCTCAACACCTGGGCCTTCTAAACCTGGGCCTTCCAAACCAGCAGGGCCAGACGCAACTTACGCCGAGGCTCTGTACAAGTACAAGAGCGAGTGGCAAGAACGATTTCCTTGGGTCATACTGCTAAAAAAGGCTGACGATTTTCCTGCTTTCAAGTGCAGGATCTGTACGGAGCATGCAGGCTACGCTGGACCGTGCGGGAGAGGCGGAAAGGGCGCCATAGACGTTCAGACGCAGGCGTTCAAATGGCATGCGGCAACTACGAAGCACAAGGAGGCGTTGAAACACCAGAAGAAGCTACTCGACGAAGCATCCACGCAGCCACGGATCAACAGCGACAATCTCGCTCGCGACACGGAGAAGGAGCGTGTCAGCAGGCTCCTCGACTCGCTGCTCTTCGTGACCAAGCAAGATGCACCCATAGAGTTATGGGTGAATCTCGTGCGCTACCTCGCGCGACTGAAGGTGCCTGGGTTCCCCGCTAAGGGCTACGATACCTATTACACGACGTGAGTTACCGTTTTCTCGGGTTGCAAACCGTGTATATGTAGATTTAATAACCGGTCTAACATTGTGTTGTTTGACCTGCGCTGCAGATACGGCTTTGGGCAGCTGACTCAGTCGATGGCTACGTGGTTGCACACAACGCAACTGCAGCACATCCTTAGCAGCCCATACCTAGGCATCACATGTGACGAAAGCACGGACAGGTGCTCTGGAAAGCACATGATTGTTTTCGCGTCTTTCATCCGTGACTGTCGTCCCGTGACTGAGTTTCTTGCCCTGCTGACCGTGGAGAAGGGCGATGCAGCCTCTCTCCTGTCAGTGCTCTTATCCCACCTGCAGGCCGTGGGCATTGAATTGGCGAGGATATCCGGCATAAGCACTGATGGTGCGAGTGTCATGATGGGGAAACACAACGGCCTGGTCGCACGACTTCGCCTGCGCATCCCGCACCTCGTCTCGAGCCACTGCATCGCCCACAGGTGGGTTCTTATGTTGTGTTTCCTGCACCCCTTAATGAATCCGCAGCCACCCGTGGTAATCACTAGTTGACCTGGTTTGCTTGTTGTTGTGCATGCAGGGAGGCGCTCGCCGCAAAGGCCGCCGCTGAAGAACTCCCCGAGTTCGGGATGGTGGACGCCCTGCTCCGCCAAGTGGCAGAGTACTTGGGGCGTTCGGGCCCGTGGCATCAACGGTTCATGGGCTTGCAGGAGGTCTTCACGAAAACGAACCTGGAGCTGCAGGGGATCCACGACGTCCGCTGGCTCTCCCGCGGTGACGCCATTCTGCGCGCGGTAGAGGTGTTCCCCGCGCTGATCGTGATGCTGTACGAGTGGGACAGCACCCTGTACAAGCTCGTCACGAGCTACAGGTTTCACTTCCTGCTATATTTCCTTGCAGACGTACTCGAGCACCTCAATGTGCTGAACAAGGCATTCCAGCAGCGTGAGGTGAGCATGGTTTCGTACAAACCTTGAATATGTGCCCTGTTGCTGGTTTTGCTCCAATGTTTGGTGTTACTTACCACAGCTCTGAGTTGGTCTGCCTTCCACACTTTTTCATCCATGTTGAACCCCCAACAGCTGGACATTGCTGGTGTTCACGGGCAGATCCGCCGGTCCATCTCCTTCCTTGAGTCCCGCTACGTCGACTGCGGTGACGACTTTGGAGGCGGTGTGAGCGCGCGACTCTC